GAAGAGACTTTCCTTTCTCCATTGTATGTTCTTGACTCCCTTGTCGAAAATTAGCTGTCCATAGATGTGTGGGTTTATTTCTGGGCTCTTGATTCTGTTCCATTGATCTGTGTGTTTGTTTTTGTGCCAGTACCATGCTGTTTTGGTTACTATAGTTCTGTAGTATATATTGAAGTCAGGGAGTGTGATACCGCTAGCTTTGTTCTTTTTCCCTTATCTTTTTAATTAACTTTTGAATTACTTTATTTTAGATATAACTTTTATATACAGTATAGAGTTGATTTTTGCTTTGTGAACCAATTTGCAATTTTAAAAAATAGGTAGCTTAATCACATTTACATTTATTGGTATGACTTGTATGTTTGGTTTCGAATGTCTTATTATTTTGTTATATCTACAGTTTCTTTATGGTCTGTTTTCTTTTATATGTGTATGGATATGTGGGGGTGTGTGTGTGTACTTTTTGGTATTTCAGAGACTTTCTTTTCCTATTGTTTAACTTTATATTAATATCTTTTATCATGTTCTTGATCTGCCTTTTCCTTACTTAACCTTCTACTCTATTTTCTATCTTTGAAAGAAGTCTTTTTGATTCCTACTTGTTACCTGTTACAATCAACGAACTTATTTTACTTTTTTTCTCCTTCCATTTTTAAAATTTGCGTATTTCTATTTTTTTAGAAAATAAAACATACACAAATCATTTTTCTACTCTTGTCCTCACTCTTATTTTAGTTTCAGAACTTTAATTAAATATACCCCATGCTTACTATCAATGTTTTTACTGAAGTTTACCCATACTTTTTGGTTAGAAGAAGCTCGTGTCTAGTAAATTCCTCAGGAAAGGCTCAGTAATTCCTGAGTTCTTGGAGGTTTAAAACTTTTTCTTTAGCCTTGAAACTTAAAGGACAGTTTGGCTGGATTTCAAGTGCTTGGTTCACACTTCTTTCCTTTAGTTTCTTTAAAAAGTTGCTCTGCTCTTGTGTGTCTTTATATATTGTCATGAGAAATCCAATTGCAAATATGACTTTCTATTCTTTGTAAATGAGTTGATCTCTTTGTCTGGAGAAAATGAGGATTTTTTTTCCCTTTTAAGTCTAATGGTTTTACTAGGATATGTCTTGGGATTAACCATTCTGGATCAATTTTCACTATAAACTTGAGCCTTTTCAACATGAAGATTCAAGTTTTCTTTTATTTCAGAATGATTTCTTATAGTTTATTTTTATTAAAAAAATGCTTTTTTATTTTTCTCTTTGTTTCCTTCTTTAGGGACTTCCTTTGTACATGTGTTCTAGCTTCTTTTTCTGCTATACAACCACGTTCTCTCTTACCTTTTTAATTCTTTTTTTTAATTGAAGTATAATTGACATACAATATTCTGTGAGTTTCAGGTGTACATTATAGTGATTTTTATATTTATATACATTACAAAATTACCATGATAAGTCTAGTTACCATCTGTCACCCTAAAAGTTATTATAATATTATTGACTATATTTCTTGTGCTTTATATTACATCCCCATGACTTATTAAAACTGGAATTTTGTACCCCTTAACCCCCTTCACCTATTTCACTTGCCCTCCAACCTCTCCCCACACTGGTATCCACTAGTTTGTTTCTTGTATCTATAAATCTATTTAGTTTCATTTGTTCATTTGTTTTGATTTTTAGATTCCACATACAAGTGAAATCATACAGTATTTGTCTTTCTCTGTCTGACTTATTTCACTTAGCATAATACAGTCTAGGTCCATCCATGTTGTCACAAATGGCAAGATTTCATTTTTTTTATGGCTAAGTAATAATCCATTATATATATATACCACATCTCTATTCATTCATGTATCAATAGACACTTAAGTTGCTTCTTTGTCTTAGCTGTTATAAATAATGAGGCAAAGAACATAGGAGTGCATATATCTCTTCAATTTAGTGTTTTCATTTTCTTCACATAAATGCCCAGAATGGAATTGCTGGATCATATGTTATTTCTATTTTTAATTTTTTGAGGAACCTCCATACTGTTTTTCACACAGTGGCTGCACCAGTTTACATTCCCACCAACAGTATATGTGGGTTCTTTTTCCTCCACATCCTTGCCAACACTTGTTATTTTTTGTCTTTTTAATAATAGCCACTCTGACAGGTATGAGGTGGTGTCTCATTGTGGTTTTGATTTGCATTTCCCTGATGATTAGTGATATTGAGCATCTTTTCATGTGCCATCTTTATGTGTTCTTTGGAAAAATGTCTATTCAAGTCCTCTGCCCATTTTTTAATTGGATTGTTTGTTTTTTTGATATTAAGTTACATAGTTCTTTATATATTTTGGTTATCAACCCTTTATCAGATGTATGACTTGCAAATATCTTCTCCTATTCAGTAGGTTGCCTTTTCGTTTTGTTGATGGTTTCCTTTGCTGTGCAAGAGCTTTTTAGTTTGATGTAATCCTATTTGTTTATTTTTGTTTTTGTTGCCCTTGCCTGAGGAGACTGGTCCAAAAAAATATTGCTAAGATGGGTGTCAAAGAGCTGACTGCCTAGGAGTTTTATGGTTTCATGTCTTATGTTCAAGTCTTTATCCATTTTGAATTTATTTTTATATATGGTGTAAGATAATGGTCTATCATTTTTTTGCATGTGGCTGTCCAGTTCTCCCAACACCATTTGTTGAAGAGGCTGTTTTTCCCCATCGTATATTCTTGCCCCCTTTGTCATAGATTAATTGACCATATATGTGCGGGTTTATTTCTGGGCTCCCTATTCAATGCCATTGATCTGTGTGTCTGTTTTCATGCCAGTACCATACTGTTTTGATTACTATAGCTTTGTAGTATAATTTGAAATCAGGGAACGTGATATCTCCAGCTTTGTTCTTCTTTCTCAAGATTGCATTGGCTAGTTGAGGTCTTTTGTGGTTGTATACAAATTTTAGGATTTCTTTGTTCTGGTTCTGTGAAAAATGCTATTGGTATTTTGATGGGGATTGCATTGAATCTGTAGATTGCTTTGGGTAGTATGGACATTTTAACAATATTAATTCTTCTAGTACATGAGTGTGGTATGTCTTTACATTTATTTGTGTTGTCTTCAATTTCTTTCATCGATATCTTATAGTTTTCAGAGTACAGGTCTTTCATTTTCTTGGTTAAATATATTTACAGATATTTTATTCTTTTTGATGCAATTATAAGTGAGATTGTTTTCTTAATTTCTGTTTCTGATAGTTCATTATTAGTGTATAGAAATGCAACCTATTTCTGTAGATTAATTTTGTATCCTGCAACTACACTGAATTCATTTATTAGTTCTAGTAGTTTTTAGGTGGAGTCTTTAGGGTTTTCCATATATAGTATCATGTCATCTGCAAATAGTGACAGTTTTACTTCTACCTTTCCTATTTGAATGCCTTTTATTTCTTTTTCTTGACTAATTGCTGTTCCTAGGATTTCCAATAGTATGTTGAATAAACATGGCAAGAGTGGGCATCCCTCTCTTGTTCCTGATCTTAGAGGAAAAGAGTATAGCTTTTCACTGTCGAGTATGATGTTAGCTATGGGTTTGTCATATATGGCCTTTATTATGTTGAGGTATGTTCCCTCTATACCCACTTTCTTCAGAGTTTTTATCATAAATGGATGTTGAATTTTGTCAAATGCTTTTTCTGCATCTATTGAGATAATCATATGATTTTTATCCTTCATTTTGCTAAGGCGGTATATCAAGTTGATTGATTTGCAGATATTGAACCATCTTTGCATCTCTGGAATAAATCCCACTTGATCGTAGTGTATGATTTTTTTTTCATGTGTTGTTGAATTCAGTTTGCTAATATTTTGTTGTGGATTTTTGCATCTGTGTTCATCAGGGATGTTGGCCTATAATTTCCTTTCTTTGTGGTGTCTTTGTTTGGTTTTGGTATCAGGGTAATGCTGGCTTCATAAAATGAGTTAGGAAATGTCCCCTCCTCTTTAATTTTTTGGAATAAATTGAGAAGGATAGGTATTAATACTTCTTTAAATGTTTGGTAGAATTCACCTGTGAA